CTTTCAGTGTAAACAAGCAAGAATCATAAAGCAAAGGCAAAACTCATTGAGGAATTGGGACATTTGGCCAGAAAAATGTGCCACCCCTCATTCATATCCACAGGAATTCGGATGATTTTCCTTCTTTCAGTACCAAACTATCCATAAGTAGGACATTTATCTACACTCTGCTTGGAGTTGTTTCTAGCTTAGCCACATTTCTGCTCATGGGTCGTTTGATTCTGTACTTACTGGAGAGATGGTACCTGTAGGAAAGGTTCTTTCATTCTCTTAAGGACCATCCAGAAAGTGACTGAGTTATATTTATCCTTAGACCTGTCCCTGTATTTCTTAACTTGTAAAATAAATCACTGTACAAACCAATTTTGATAGAATTTTCTGTTGTTTGTGGCTAATGATCCTTTTTAACAGTTGCTGTTGAAGTACACAAAAATCTTATTATCATAATATCTTAATTTATACTGTATTCCTTAGATCATAGCCTCTATTAGATCAAATTTCAGATATCAGATCTAGTAGTAACAGTAATAATAGTAGTAATAATCATACTCCTTTAGTTTATGGGCCCCTAACCTACTGTATTGGATATCAGACCTCTGAATTCAATTCAAAAAATTCTAATACTTAAAAATGTCTATATACTTACATTATCTCTACAGACCTAGCGATATGTAAGATTCCCTTTGGTCTTTTAAATATTAACTAGTGAGATAACTTAGTGACTCACTATAGCTATTGTTGAATCAAAATGGCATCACTTTAAAGACCAAAGAGCTCAATTCCAGCAAAACTCAACAGAGAAAGGCTCAGTGGTAAATTCAAAACAATGCATTTCCAGAGCTAAAAAACAATCATTATATTTAAAGCAGGAGAAACTTTCCACACACCTGTTCTCAATCATTCAGCAAACTCTTTTGCTGCAAGAGTAATGACAACTTTACCCCCTCTAGGGGTCACATCCCTCAGCCTAATTCTTGCTTACAGAAACCAGCAGAGGGGGTTTGGGGCATTTAATGATTGTTTCTGTTTTCCAGGTATACTCTCTTTTTCCTTACCCTTTCCCAATGTAATATGTGTAACATGTCACCTATACGAAATGAACACCTTAGGATGCTACATAACTTTTCTGATAGGTATGTGTGTACGCTACAGGAGAGAAACCCAGGCTCTTCTGTTCTTCCAATATCCTTAAGAGTGTAGACCTTCATTCTTATTAGTCAGCTTTGTGGCCTAACAATGAATGTCATACCGCCAAACATTTTTGGGGAAAAAAAAAAGATGAGGCAAAAAAGCCAAACATACAATTGACTCTGTCCTTTAAACAAGCCTTGCTAGCACCCTACCCAGTACTTTTCCATGTCTATGGTTCTAACAGGCTCCCCCTTAGACCAGCACTGCTCCATGAAAATAAAGTGCAAGCCACAAACAAGATCTATATATGTAATTTTCTCTTCTGTCTTTCTCCCTTCCCATTTTCTTTTTCCTTCCTCTTTCCCTTTCTACCTCTGTCTCTCTCTCTTCTCTTCAGCGGTGTTAGGGACCAAACCCAAAGCCTCATTCAAGCTGCACACACATTTCAACCACTGAGTTGTACCTCCAGGCCCTAAAGATATAATTTCAAGTACATTTTAAAAATATAAAAGAGAATGAGCATGAATTCTAGTACAGTGCTCACCTAGTGTGCATCAGACCCTGGGTTCAATCCCAGACTCATGCACACAAAGTAAAAAGGAAAAAAGATGAAATTAAATTTAATAATATATTTCATTTTATCCAAAGTATTTTGACATGTGATCACTATTTTTTTTTCATGGAGGGGTCGAACTCACGACCTTGCCAGCCCGGTGCTTACACCACTGAGCTAAATGCCCGGCCCATGATTGATATTTGTAAATATATTTACTTTCTAAGTGTCTTCAAATACAAAGTGTACCTCTATTTACCCTAGCCACTTTTTGAGAGTTCAGCAGCCACATGTCATTATACGGGATAGGAAGCCTGTGCTACTGTGGTATAACAAAATATGTTTGATTTCTGCCCTGATCCCTAAAACAGAACTTTTAAGACTCTTGCAGATAGGAGGACACTTGTAGAATCTCTTATTTTCATATTTGGTCTGCATCCCCAGTTCCTGAAACAGAACTTTGTAATTTTCTAAGTGGTAACATCTGACGCCAAGCTAATCAATCTTTTTCTCAGAATTTCTTCATAAGAGTGGGTTTTTATGTTAATAAGGCAACCTTTTGGAAAGTTCTTGAATAGTTTCAGGTTGGGGGCTGGTGCCAGGGAAACCAGCCATGTGATTATATAGTTGGAATTTTCAGATACATCTCTCCTACCTCTGGTTGAAAGTAAGGCAGGCCACCAATGATTTATAATGAATTGTGCCTACATAATGAAACCTCCGTGAGACCCCAAAAGGATGGGTTTGGAGTTTTTTGCTTGCTGAATATCCAGGTGTGGTGTGGACAGGGAGGGAAAGGAGTTCTCAGCCCGCCCCCTTGCCCCACACATTTCTTCCATCTGTCCATTTGTACACTTTGAAACAGTCTTTATAATAAACTGGCACAAGTAGTGTCTCTGAGTCCTGTGAGCTATCCTTGAAAAAATTTAATTGAATGCAAGAAGGGTGTAGGGGCAAACGGGGACTAACTGACATGGAGATAGTGGCATGGAACACAGCCTTCATTCTGCAGGATGCAATGCCATCTCTAGGCAGATAGTGTCACAACTGAGTTAAATCATAGGATACCCTCATAGTTGGTGCTGTAGAATTGGATGTTGATGGTCGAAATCCATGCGTTAAAAAAAGATGAGGGTCTCACATTATATTATCCAGGCCAGGCTACACTCCTGGCCTAAGTGACCCTGTCCCTCAGCCCAAGTAGCTGGGACCACAGGCCACACATTTTGAGGACCACAAGTGATGTAATGAATTCTGTGCTGATTATGTGAATACAAAAACTAGTTTGTTTTTCTAGTAAAAGTTTGTAATTCTTTTCATCAGAAAGTCCTTGGTCAATCACTGAAAAGGACTAAAGAGAAAAGATTTGTGAATTGAAAGTAGTCGTCAAACAAGTGTCTGCCTCCTTGACATTAGCAGATATTTGGTTTAATAAAGACCAAACACCTTTAACACCTCTGTGTCAATTTAATGTAAATAAGTCCCATTCATGATGAATTCCCCCTCACACTGGGGATTGAATCCAGGGCCCACACGCTGAAAAATATCCCAGCCATTTTTTATTTTTTATTTTGAGACAGAGTTGCTAGGTGAGGCTTGAATTTGAAATCCTCCTGCCTCAGCCTCCCATAGGTCCTGGATTACAGGCATGCACCATCACATTAGCTCTCTACAAGTCTTTAACCTGGGATTACTCTAGGCAGGCCAAAATTTCTTTCAGAGACAAAGGAATTATACTTCTACTGATCAAGCACTTAAAAAGATGCTTATATTTTTGAAGTTTCCCTCATTAATTTTGCTGTACCTTAAGTCTGGTGAGCAGTGTTATTTTAGGTCATTGTTTTTTTCACTGTGGTGGTTACCACAGCAGCCACACCGATCACTTATCGTCTAACTACAGTGCTCCCTCACATACCTCACCCTTCAGTGTTCAGAGTAGCATGCTTGCTCCAGAACTTACACAACTGTCAGACTTCAGGAGGGACCAATTCACTATTCTCTGCTTAGCAATTTTCTCTATCATTTATGTCCATCATTGATTGATTGTGGTATTGGGGACTGAGTTACATCTCAACCATTTTTAAAATTTCTTTGAGCAGAGTGTGGTAGTGCACACCTGTAATCTTAGCACTCAGGAGGCTGAGGCAGGAGAACTGCCTTGAGTTCAAAACCAGCCTGAATCACACAGTGAGTCCAGGCCAGCTTGAACTACATAGCAAGACCCCTTCCCCCCAAAAAAATTTTATTTGCGATGGTGTCATCACTAATTTGCCCAGGCTTGCTGTGAACTTGTGATGCTCCTGTCTCAGCCTCAGAGTAGGCTGGGATTACACCTGTACCTGTAACGCCATACCTGACATTTTTAATTCTCTTATTTGATCTGCCTTACCCCTTGTTTAACCTGTACATATTTTTTTTTTAAATTGCCATTACCGTCTTTGGTTTCATGATCATGCAAATTCGATTACAATAGATAATTTCTAGTAATATTTTTCTGAAATAAGGATGGAGAAATACCCAGAGTCCTAATCCTCGGTGGGTGCAGACGTGGGAAAGTATAGTCCCTACTGCTTTCAAGAACTTGATAATTTTGTGCTCTAGTGCTTTTCTGGGAGAACACTGAGTATCTATGGTAACGGCGACAGCAGGTAAGTAAATTTCTTGCGAGTCAGTATCTGCGCCAGCAGCAGTGCGGAGTGGCATGAATTCTGCAAAACAGAGAGTCCTACACACACCGACAAAAACAGCCCCAAAACGCAGTGTTCAGTACTTCCTACTCAAGTACCGACGCCTCGTGTTTCCGGGGACCTCCCTCGTCTCCCTTTCCATCCTCTTGCCTTGTATCCAGCTATTAAATCTCTCCCCCATCCTCCTCTCCTTTCTTCCAGGTCCTTCAGGATGGACCCAAATCACTGCTTCTCCAAGCCTCCTGGGATTCGGAGACTGGTACCCGCCGCCACTCGGCTCGCGCCTGCGCAGAGCGTATCCTCGCGCGAACGCGCAGCCCCGACCCGTCACCCCTCCCTACGCCAATGCCGCGAGTGCGCCGAGGGAAGGACCGCGTTAAGGAATGACCGCGACGGTTTCTGGAGCCGCACGTCTCTAAAGACCTCTTATCCTACTAGGCTCTTCGAGACCTTGGGGTCGCATCCACTCGGAAACGCGCGTGTGCCCTGAACTGTTAACCAAGAGAAACCAACCAAAAAGAGGAAGGTGCTCTAGGCCCCGCCCCCGGCCAGGTCTCTACCTCCCATTGGCCCGCGCGCCCGTCCGTCCGCCTAGGGCCGAGCCGGCCCGCGCTTCTTTCCTGGCTCCCTCCGTGTGTGCGGAGCGGCCCAGGCAGTGTGAGCTTGAGCCTGCGCCGGCTCCGAGCAGCTCCAGGGTGAGGAGGGCAGGGCAGGTCTGGGCGGCGCCGGGGCTGAGCATCGCGAGGCGGGCGGCAGGACCGTGGCCTCTGAGTCCGCAGGACCACCTGTCGCGGGACGAAGCTTCGGGTAAGGCAAGGCAAGGCAAGGCGCGGCCAGGACCGGAGTGCTCCAGGTGCGGCTCCTCCGCTAGTGGCCCCTCTGCGGGCGGCCAGAGCCGAGCGCGGCCTCTGCGCGTGCGCCCCGCGGCCGGCGGGTGGCGGAGGGGCCGGGTCGGTCGGGTCCTGCTGGACCCCCGCTGCTGCCTTCCGCGTCTGTTCCGGTAGCACGCTTTGGGGCGCGCTTTTCCTGCTCGCCGGGGCCAGGGCGCCCCTACTCCAGCCTCCCGACCCCAGGTGCAGCCCCGTGGCCTCCAGAGGACGAGCATCTTTCTCTTTGCCTCCGCGCCTGCTAAAGACTGAATTTGTAACTCCAAAGCCTTTGGCGGGGTCTCTTTCAGCCGGGATGAGGGAGTGACAGGAGTTAGACTATGTGTGCGTTCTTCGAAAGGAGGAGTCGCTGCAGGGTAGGAAGTTGTGCGATTGAAGCGGTTCTGTCTGCTCAGAGGAAATGGCATCTGTGCACCGGGCTTGGCAGGTGTTTCTTTGACGCTCGCGTTGCCGGCCAGCTCCGAGTGTACTGTTACATTTCATGGTCTTATACAGAATTTTTCTTTTTTTGTTTTGGAAGACAACTGTAGGACATTTATGTTGCCTCTGGTGAGAAGCGTGATCAGAATAAACTCCATACAAGTACACCTTTAGAAAATGTTTCATCCTCTCCTGCCTTTCGATTTACCTTAGTAATGCTCGTGGCGGTCACTTCTGCACAGCTGTCAATGGCATTGTTGTTAGTGATGATAACAGTAAGAAGCACTGTTGTTAATTGTGGCCTGGGTATTTTATCCCTTGGTATACAAACGAAGAAAAAGGCTAGTATACAAACAAAGAAACAAGGCTTAGGAAAGTTAAGAAACTTTTCCAAGACAGTACGTAGTTTTCAGTGAGATCTTGGATTCGGACTTAAGCACTTTGGCTTTATAGATTCACTCCCTCCTCTGTGTTCCTGAAGTATTGTTTAGGTGTTGTTTATAGGTATTACTTTGTAATACTGATAAATTTTTATCATTTTCAAATGTTCTGAAAGTTGGGGCAGAAACATTTACCCAAATAAATAAATACATCTTGTGTGTAGTAAATATAACTGTTGTATCTAGTTGTTACAACACTATTGCTGTTTTATGTGGTTTGCAGACAAAACGTTTAATTTTGTCTTTTAACCTTGGATCTTTAAGCAACTTTGAGTCCTGGTTTATAACCTGTATCAAATTCTTTTTATGGTAGATATAAAACCTTAAAGGTTAGATCAAGAAGGCAGAAATCCTTATAGAACCTTTTTAATACATTATTAGGAAGTGTTAAGCAATAGTTTTGTAATTCTTTTTCAGAGTAACATACTCTTGCTCAGTAGATGTTGCTAGAAAGACTTGTTTATGAGTTACAGTTTAGAAGATTTTCTAGTATGTTTCTGTCTTTTAAATATACTTAGGAAAACACATTGAAGGAGAAGCATTCACCATTTCAGTTTTTGTTAAATTAAAAGCTGTGATCCTGTTCTTGCCTAATTTGTATTTAATTTCATATAAAAACAATCTGCATTAAATTTTATATTAAGTTAAACTAAAATTCCTCTAGTTGGTAATAAGCCCGTTTGTCAGATTCTCTTTGTAAGTGTTCTGAGTTTTAATATTTAACAAAAGTTTGTTTTCTAAAGTTTTTTCTTTATGTCTTAAGGGTGCCATCAAAATTGCTGTTACTTTGCCCAGTGTGGTAGCATATGCCTGTAATCTCAGCACTCCTGGCAACTGAGGGAGGAGAATTGTAGGTTTGAGCCCACCCTGAGCAATTCAGTGATTTAGTGAGACCTTAACTCAAAATAAAAATGCCTGGAGGTGTAGCTCAGTGTGAAAGTTCTGGGTTCAATTCTCATTACTCTAAATAAATAAATTTACTTTCATGTTTTATTTTTCTGTATCACTTAATAAAATTCTCTAATAATATGAAGGATACAATGCTGTAACTATAATATATACATAATTACATATATATTCTTTTGATAATCAGTACTTTATGAGGTTAGATTTGACATGTGATGTTACTTTTACTGTACTGACTAAATTCAGTATTTGATAAGATTTTAATGAGCTGAAAATAGTTTATATATCGAAATGCTAATATTCACTAATTGCAAATGGGTTTTTTCTTGATTGTCTTTTATTTAAAATGAAGTATATTTCATACTATTTTTAGATTTACCTACCTTAGGCAAATCTACCTCCTTGCAGATTAGATTGCGATGCTGACCTAATCTCTTTGTGTCAAAGATTTCATTATGGTAAATAAGGCTATTTGCTCTAGAAGAGCCACACAAACATTTGATCAATTCTTTTAAAACTTTTTAAAGTCAGATGTGCCTGTCTGTAATCCTGGCACTCAGAGGTTGAGATAGGAAGATCTCAGGTTTGAGCTCAGCCTGGGAAGTTCAGTGACTTTGGGAAACCCTGTCTCCAAACCTCTTTCTCTGTGTCTCTGTCTCTCTTTCTCTCTCTCAAATACTACCTTCCCAAACAAAACAAAATGTCTCAAAAGCCTATTTCTTACTTGTTTTTGTTTTTGTTTGGTTGGTTTTTAGAGACAGGGTCTCCATAAGGATAGTTCAAGCCGGTCTTCAACTTACTGTATAACCCAGGCTGACCTCAGACTTGTGAGAATCTTGTCTCAGCCTCCTGAGTGAAAAACCCTGCTTTTTAAAATGACAAAGATAATTTATAGTTTTTCCTCCACTCACCTGTCAGCTGTCCTTTTTTATTAATAGTCTTCTAATTATGTTGGGAGGGGACTAATTAGTACATTTTTTTCTACCACTATATTGCTATAATTAATATTTTTAGTGGTAGGTTAGTTTGGCTAATTATTAGAAACATGGTAGAAACTGAGAATTTCTACTTTCAGAGCCAATTGCTAGTACTTTCCACAGTATATTAATGAACAGAAGGAAAGTGAGATGAATCTTCTATGCTACAGTCTTGAAAAAAATCTGTAGTCAAATTTGAAATTTAGAAGTGGCCTATAACAATTTTCTATTTAAAGGAATTCAATGCAGAATCCCTTATAAAGCAGACTTTGCCCAAAAAAATGAAATAAAATCAATGGAGTTTACTTAAAGCAGCCTGTTCTTTTTTCTTTTTTTTTTTAATTTAATTTGATTTTGTTTCGTTGATACAGGCTCTTGCTATGTAGTACAGGCCATCCTTGAACTTGAAATGTTCCTACCTCAACCTCCTAAGTGCTAGGATTACAGATATGTACCACCATATATAATTTATTATTAGATTGAGGTAGTAAAGGTAATTCATAGACACACAAGAAGTTATAAAAAAAAGAAAATCTTGGAAGCCCATATTGGTATGTTTTTAAATTTAAAAACAATCAAGGAAAGGTAAGTTAGGTGTTTGTTTGTTTGTTTGTTTTTCCCATGTTTGTCATTTTCTAAAAATTTACAAAAAAAACCTGGGCTTTAGTGATGATAGAATGACATTGAGTATTTTGTGCTTCGTAAGAGCTAAAAAGACATGGACTGATGTAGGTTTAGTGGAAATATAACAGCAGTACTGCTTTAGGCCTCATTTTGGTCCAGGAGCTCAGTAGATGACTACGGAAGCCTAGGCTTAAGGTAAAGAATGACTCAACTTCTCCTCTAAGGTGGTTGCTTAGTCACATATTGAGACCTCCCTTTCCTGCTCTAAAAGCACAGTAATGGTAGGTAAAATACCAAGACACATGGAGTCAAATTTGAAAACAAGTAAGGAAAATCTCCACATGCCAAACTGAAGGAAGACCCTCCAAGAGTGAGCTGGAGTTAAAGCGTCCCAAGGGTGTACAGGTAACAGTAAGTATAACATGCGGTCAAATATTTATGGCTTGCAGGAGATAGAAGCTGATTTCCCACGCCCTGTTGGATAGGAACCGAAATTAGACTCTGTGAGAAGTAGGAAAGCCGTCCTCTGTCAGTGGGGACTGAAACCTGGTTGAGGTAAGACTTAAGCCCTTTACCTCATACTACAAGAATCTTGAAACCTTCAGGTTATTTGAATTTGGGTTTGGAATTCCACCCCTGAGTGTGTAACCATTTAAAACAGAAACAAATTTAGAAACTAGTTTTTGACTCTTGAGCCCTCTGGATTTCATAGAGGCAGACTTCCTGCCTCCAAGGTTGGTCTCCACAGCATAGATCATAGAGGGGACTTCTGTCAGAGGCCACTTCTATTTAAAACAAAAACAGACAAACAAAAAACCAGAAAACAGCACATAGACAAAAATTATGCCATGAAAGAAACCAAAAGTGTCTGTGTAAGCACTACAGACAGCAGAATAGTCTGGAAAGGTCTTGAAAATATCTTTAAAATAAGCATTTGAAATCAGTTTTAGGTTATAAAATGTGTAGATGAATTGTACAAAAAAGGTTCAGATACAAATGTAGATATAAAACAATTGAAGGAAACAAATGATGTATTAGAAATGTGTAACTGAAGAGCTATGAGAATTTAGAGAAGAAAAATTGTTTAACTAGTAAATCACATTTTGTCTTTAAAAATGGATTTTAAAAGGAAAAGGAAGAAATACATCAAAGAATCAGGAACAGCATACCCAAAGGCTCAGGGTTAAAAATTTTGAAAGGATATATAAACTGTGTAGGACCCTGGAAGATCTCTGAACTTTATTTTTTGTTTTTCTTTCTTTCCTATTTAAATTAGGTGATGTCCAAGACCTAGAGTAACTAGTTATAATCCAGAGGAAATCCCAGCAAGTGTATAAATCCACTAATTAGAATAAAACATAGTTTAAAGTTTGTATACTTGGAAATACATACACGCAAATGCACAAATGCCCTAATTTTTCTGCTTAGGAAAGAAGCATTATAGGGCTGAGATACAGCTCAGCGGCACAGCACCTACCTGGCAAGCACAAAGTCCTGAAAGTATCAGGTTCATAATTATATAAACTAAAATAGTATAGTATAGGATAGTGTAA